ACTACTCTACTCTAGTGGGCAAAACCCATGGTCACACTGTGAGACATCCCAGTCAATTCAGCTAATTTACTGACTTGCCTCTGGTTTACCATTTTTACCTTTTACCTTTAATTAAGCAATCAGAGATTTGCTTGACCATGTAATCTCCTGATACTGTTGACTGAACAGGGGAAAGCTTTCAACTTTTATTTTCATGCTTGCAGCTTTTTTCATCCAGAATCTCCAATATATAACCTTATATAATAGAAGACTGTGTTATATTAAAATAAATTGTGCTGTAGTTTAGAATTGAAAGAGATAGACCGATGAGTTGACCTGCTAACAGTAATAGAAGTGAAGGATAACTCTATCATGTGTTCCCTTGATGCTGACTTAAAATGGTCTGAGGTGTGCTCCACCACAGGAGATAATCAGCATGGAGACGCATTCGGACAAGAGACAGAATACAGAACACTTAAACAGCACACGCCTTTTCTGATTAAACAGTTTTATTGCTGTTATTGATTAGCATATACAGTACAAAAGACTCATGGAGTTTATACATAGTGGTGCACACAAAATAAAAAACAATTATTGTAACAACATTTAAGAATAAAAACAATATAGCATGTCCCAATATATGGAGCCAGGATGACTAATAAGAAATGTTAATTTGGAATTACTTAGAAGGGTAAGGGTAAAAGTAATCTCTCTGTTCAAACACATCAGGACTTTTAATCAGATTAAAGCAGTACAGCTCATTGTTAAGGCTGAATGCCGTAGAATAAGCAGGACCCTATGTGTTGTGTTGGTTATCTGGAAGGCAGACAAATACGAAAAGTTCAGTCCGAAAAGAGTGAAATCCTAAGGTCAAAGAACTTGGTCAGAAATCCGAAAGAGTTGTTCAGGAGAAATCCACCAAATGAGTTTGCCGATATGCAACAAGCTCACAAAAGAGAGAAACTCCAATACCGAGCCTGGGAATGTGGGACATGAGGGTTTAAATAGTGAAGGAGAGAGGTGTTATAGGTGAACAAGTTGATGAGGTTCAATTAGTGGCAGGTGCTGTGCGTGGTCATAACACTCATAAGATCCAATATTACCTTGGCTTATTCGTCATTCATGATCAGAGGGTGTCTACAGATATTAATCGGTGTTTAAGTTTCAAGGGATCAACAACAATGAATAGTCTGGGGCAAAAAGGAATAACACCTTGCCGCTATATGCCCCCCAACTGGCAACCCTGTATTGGATATCAGTTAGAAAATAGAAATAAACCCTCCTTCAGAAGAATTAGAAACAAGACCTGTCTTTAATACCAGATTTCCTTCACTCCTTCAAAAGAAGAACATAAACTTAAGTTTTTTCAAAGTAATTTTAAAATTCATTTAAATTCTTCATTCTTCTTAACCTATATTGTCATGCAAGGCATGGAGTCCCTGAGAGGCAGATCCCTTGCTGAGAGGTATGCATTACTAAGCGACCACAGCTGAAGTGAGTTTGTGAATTAACTAAGTTCAGCTGTGGGAGGTCTTTAAGATCAGGCTGAGCAATTCCCTAAGTGGTCCCCAAGCCAGGATGTCAGTCCTGTACTGGCTGCAGACCTGAGTAGATGTAATATCAGGTGAAATTATCAGGTCCCACGCAAAGTAGCATTAACTTTAAAAACAGTAGAATATTGTCACACTCCTATTTAAAAAAAAAAAATCTAAAGCAGCATGTGTTCTGTCTTTTGTATACATGAAGTACAACACCATGTCAGTAAGCATTCCCTAGCTAAACACCTAATGTTTTTCGCCGTTTCTGTGACCAATAGAAATGACACGTTTTAGACAAAAGTTATTCTTTATGAGAAACCGCAAAACATGTACTGTACATAGGTTTTTGCCTGCTCTTTAAATATTGAACAGAAGACATTTACGATGACTTAATAGTGTAGGGAAAACCGGTTCAGGGACGCCAAATATGTAATCATAGTGGCTCTCTGAAGGCACCAGTTCTGTAGGGTTTGGGCATTTACTGAGACAATTATTAATTGTAGCAGTAAATCACAATGTTGATCCTTTTGATGGCTTTAGAATCCAACCATGCGACATAACTCAAACAACGCGCACACACAGGTACTAATACACGAGGATACATTTATTAATACATAGAATATGCATATAAACCTAACAGATCTTATCGAGAGGGTTATCAGAATACAAAAGGTATATATTCAGTCAGTTACAAAGTGTTACATATATCAAGAGGACATACGTTCAGTATATCATTCATTAAGACCGTTTCGTAAAGTGAACTTGGTTACAACTTCTACATTAGATACTCAAAACAAGTACATAACTCTTAGGAATTAAATTGATATCAACTGGTTTGGATAACAATTGAATTCTCGAGCTGTAATGCATTGAAGTTGAATACTCATCCAATCTTTGGGGATTCAGATCTCCTGCGGGCACAAAGAAACAGTTACAGGCTGTTGCTGTCCAATCCGCGCTCTCTGGCTCCGTGCCAGGCTGTGCTGTGTGGCTTGCGACGGTGCGCTGCTGATGCTCATTGTTGGCATTAACTAGCAAAGTTTGTGCACAGGAGAAAAGATGACTGTGGGTCCCAGCAAGTCAGGAAGAGGACCGGTTCGTTCCTGATGAAGAGCTAGTTCTGAATAGTGATTCAGCTTTCCACAGTTCCGACCTGTTCACGAGGCCTGCTGCTGGTTACTCTCTGGCAACCTCCACTCTAGACTCTTAGAACAAAGGAAAGTTCTGGCACTCGGACACACTGGCCGTTCCGTGGTGGTCCGGGCTGAGTCTCAGGATGGTCAGGAGGCGCGCTGCGAGAATGTCCTGCCCTTGGGAGCCTTCTGCTCCTGGGCCGTCCTGCCCTGGAATTCTCACAGAATCTTGTTGAATCTGAATCTGAATCTGAATCTCACAGGCTCTCTGTGTTGCCTGTTTTTACCTGGAGGAACTTCAGCTCATTGATTGGCTGAAAGTTCCATGGGCATCAGAGTCCCACGTGGGTTACTCGGCCCTACCAGTCCCTGATTTGTTGATCAAGGTGAGATATGAGTCACTTAGTCCTGACACTTAGTAATGCAGTCCAGATGTCCAACTGGCACTCCCTAGACAGATAGGCGCCAATGGATGACCATTGATCATGATAGCCAGGCTTAGCTAAGTGCATCCCCCTTTGGGAGCTGTCCTTATCAAAAGAAAACATCTTGCATGAATGGTTTCTCTGTGGCTGCACCACAGAGATGAACAGAGAAATGGGGCCTCATTTGGGAAGCTCAGAAACACTTAATTCTGCCTTATTAATAAGCCTCCCCGCTACAATAGTAAGACTTATACCAGCTGTTATTGTTGGTAACAGTAAACAGCAAACCAACAATGCCCAAACTGTATAACTGGTTGTGTGTCATCCTGAAATTCTTCTTTTTGTATGGCATTACCCTATCTCTTTACATTCAATACATTTATGCAAACAGACAGATAGATACGGTTTCTTCTCCCTTCAAAATCCACTTTTCCTGCATTTTCTATGTAATTCCAAATTCTAATATATATTGGTGTCTGTATACTGACCATACTAAAAGCTTTTAAGGTTTTTGTGTTTAATGATTTAATGAGTGACTAACAATAACAATAACAGTAAACCAACAGTAGGCATTAAGCCTGGCTGTCAAGTCACTGTACTATAAACTGTATTCCATTTAATGTTTAAAGAGGTAGCAAAAGCCCATTTTAAAATTCAAATCTCAAAGATATACAAAAAAGGATTATGATTATAATGAGAAAAAAACAACAATTTTGCATTGCCCATATAATATGTCCAGTTTGGTTTTAGAATTGCAACAAAATAACAGAATAAAAACACTGGGAAGTCCAGAATTATTTTGTCTTTCATACATCCATTTACAGTCCATTTATCTTGGTCAGGATTGTGACTTTATGTGTCACACAAAATATAACACTGTAAAAATACTTGCCTGAGTGGATGTGTCAAGCCTACTAGCTTGTACAACTCACTTGTGTATAAAAAAATAATGTGTTAAATGTTATGTCACACCCTGTACAGTCTAGTAATTCAGATAATAAAAAACTGTGTTTTCTAAGAGGAAAAATACTTCCCACAGGATAATAAGATTGCTTTTAATAAATAGCAAGAAGTATATAGTAGCGTTTACAGGTTCTTCTCAGGACAAAGGACCAGTGGAGACGTGATAAACGAACCAAGTGATAGCTTTATTCTTTATCAACCACACCAAAACCAAACACATGATATACACACACATGAGGAGACTGACGGAACACGTACACATCTTTAGAGTGGTAATTACTTAACAACAAGCTATATACTTATAAGACTACATAGGACACTAGAACTGCTATGACATTATTTACACAGTTAGGGTCAGCAGCTGGTCATCATGCTGACCCTCAAACTCTCCCCGGCTATAACTCCCAGCCTGCTCAGCGGT